AGTGGGAGAACTTGCACTATTGGTGGCTGACTAAATACTTTTTTGCCCCACTGTATACATGTATATATATATATATATATATATAGTTGATACCCATTATTATAGTATTTTTTGTGGCCCATGTTTTGGACAACTCTCCTGATGAATAATTAGCAAGTCATTAGTTGAGTTTATTTACAATCCATTTTTAAGCAAAGTCCAGTCAGTTCTTGGACAGATTTTAGGTTGAGGCCATTGATGAAGATGAATTTCATTCAGTATTTGTTCTTTCTTGATGTGTTTTCCTATCACTGCCATTAACTTTTTTTTATGTTTTTTTTAATGGTAACATGATTAATTAAATTTAGACAAAGCTTAAAAAAATAGCATAATCTTTACCATGTAATCGGATTTTTGAAGAGCACAAATGCTTTGGATGGCAAAGCTGCTCCACCCAATGATTATGTTCCAGTGTTTGCAGTGTTGTTAGGTTGGAAAGTCCCAGCTTGACTCAATCTGAACCTCTGAGGTCAATCGCTCAACTTCATCCTCATTAACTCTAAAAACATTATTTCTGAAAGTCATATTACTGCACATTTTTGTTTAGCATGAACATGTCCACTACATATGTGGGGATTTGTTTGGGCCAGCACCCTGTCACTCCCTATTATATTATATTATACCATTGACAGTGATCTAAGAGCTTCAGCATTTCCCAATAGTTTCTTGACTGCCCCAATACTTCTAGCTAATTATCTTTTATCTGAGGGTGACAGTGTGGGTAAAATTGTTGCCACTTTGGAGTGGAAAAAATGGTAAAGCCTCTGAAAATGTGAGGACTATCCCTAAAATGCTATGATCTGTAGATGGTTGAGTTTTGGGGTTTTTGTTAAGTCACTCTTTCCCTAATTCTCTTGCATTGTTTTTTTTTTATCTTGGCTGCTACTGTTTTAGTTAATTCTGGTGCTCGTTGTATATTCTATCTCTACTGGATTATTTTCTGTGTCTCATGTTATCCACCCGCTGCTCAGCTCCCACTGTCTTCATTAGTCTCAGCTCTTTCCTCAACCATTGGTTACTCTGAACTGTTTTGCCATACTGTACCTTTGTCACTACTTGCCACCACATATAGGTACTCATGGTCATCCTTACTCATTGCTGGTTTCTTTCGTGATACTGCTCTGTGCCCATTGCCTCATTCCTTCATCAGTCTGCCTGCTTTTGTCATGCTACATTTCCTGTTTTACTTTTATCTTATCCTCATTTTTTAAATTAATATTTTACTTAATCTGTTTACTATATCTGCATTAAGTTCCTCCACGTAACCGTAGAACATGACATAAAGCCCAGATCTGTGGAAGGATGTCAACCACTTTAAATTAGCCTATGCCGCTCTGATAAAAATAGAGTGTTTTGAAATATTCCAACAAAATTGAGTAACAGGCGTTTATGATGGGTACAGAAAAAGAATTTGGGTTCTGTGCAACATGCTAAACATATAGCATTGTTGGTGTCTGCATATATTTGAGCCTTTATGTTTAGATATGTATGCATTCGTTTTAATATGTTATGCCTATATATGTGTGGAAAAGGCCAGTGTAAGTTTACTATATATTGTAAGTAAAGAAAATTTTAACCCTGCAATAATTAACACCGTAGCATTGCAGTGAGGGTTTTTAAGCCACTCCGGGGCTTTTCTAAATAAAGTTTGCATGTGGCTCATGTGTAGGCTTTCACTCGTTAGTCCAAGTTAGTTTTCCTCCCACAGTCAAAAATGTGTATGCATCTTAATTAGATATGAGTGTGTGTATCAGGATGAGTGGGAATGTATTTTGTTTTTCTGACTGGTATTATACTTTTCTAATTTTAAGAAAATCTGCACAGGTTTTGAAACATCCCACCATTAGAGACAGAGACACACCTTCATCTTGCAACATGCCGTGTCTTAACTTCTGCAGGGCACAAATCTTACCCAATGTCCTCTGAAGACATACAACGAGCCAAGCACACTCAAAACCAGCAGCAGGCCGGTGAAGATGGCAATGATAATCTCTACTTTGTCCAACACTGGAGGCTTCCTGTAGGCTTTAGAGGGAAAACACATATGGTCAGCCTGTGCTGGAATGCATCACAACTGGACGGCAGAGGTGGACTTACAGTAAAGACTCCCCATCTGGAGGGGAAGTTTTTGTGATTAAAGAGCTTGTTGCGTTTCTTTCATTTAAAACTGATAAACTATTTTTAACAAACAAGATTCAGTGAAAATATCTGAAAAGTGCAAAACCACACATATGATCATTTGGTAGATAAGAAGATTTTAATTCAAACTCTCTCTATTTAATCAATGAAAATAATGCCTGCTATAAAATCTAATTTTATATTCTCATATTTATTTATGTCAATTATGTTTATTTGTCTACTTAACAATGTTTTGCAAAAAAGGTATTCAACTAATCACTCCAGTTAAAGGTACAGAGGTCGATTTATTATTTCGGGGTGGATCATCTCAATAAGTGGTCCTCCTAACTGTCAATCATTTTGGTGAGATGTTTACATAAGGCCGTCCAAGTACTCGTTCCTTTAGCTATCATTTTCCGCGCATGCGCACTTTCAGGCATATATTAGTGGTGAGCTACGGGTTCAGCCAGTCATTGAAGCTCACCTTTCTCACCGTGGTTCTTTGAAAATGGCCGTGGGTCGTAAGAGAAACAGTGTCTATGAAGTGTATGAGAGGAAAATAAAGACCTCAGAAGAGGCAGATATATCCCAGAATGCTTTGCATGGAGAGCTTTCCTCGCAACATCCATTATGGGATTTGCTGTCACAGCGGCCCGCTGTCACCATAGGCTGTCGCTACCCGACAGGGGCGAGTAATTACAAAGATGGCGCAGGCACCACGCAGTGGAGGAGGAGTTACGTGACCAATGGGGAGAAAAAAGCAGTGATCATCTGTCCGAAAGGTCAGTTTACTGAGTTTGCTATAAAGTCCACTATATAGTCCTCGCTCTCTATATGATTGAGGGATTTAGGGGTTAGAGCGAATGTTCAGGCACAGTAAGTTTGTATGAGCTTTGAGAACAGAAACTTTTGTTATGAGAACTATTATTTTTCATCCCAATGACTCCCTAATAGAATAAAGAAGTCCTCCTGGTAGCCTTGCAGCTCTGTGGCCTGAATGAATGAAAAACTCAACAATCATAAACAATATATCTGAAAGGGAATTAAAAGGAGATATTTATTCCCACCACAATAATAAAGCATTTTCTGAGCACTGAGTCCGATTGATGGTCTACGATTCCATTCCCCCAATGACCCCTACAGAGGTGCTAGTGACCATGCATAAATGGGTATAGATAAATTTATGGATGGATGGATGTTTTCAATATTTGAGTGTAATTATTTTCAATATAAAGTGACAAAGCCCTATTTTTTTTTTATCTTGAAGATGTTACTAATGGTCAATACCTAGCATTAAGGAATAGAAAGAGGTTCTGTTTCTAAAGGGAACAGCTACTCACAATGGTTCCTTCTCTGAAGAGATTTCTACAATAAAAAATAAAAAAAATCCAGTTTACAATAAAAATATTCTATATCCACTTCTACCGCTAAATGTTTTACAGAACGTGGCCTAAAAAAACAGCCTGAGAAACTGCCTCCAGGTCTCATGAAAAACATACACTCTCTTAAACCACTTTGTAATATTACATAACTAGGGTTGTTTTACAATGGCAAAAAAAAAAAAAAAACCACAACCCTTTTATTAATCAAGTCATTTTCCTGCTAGATAAAGTTTCTGCTTTTGGGAAAATCTCCACATCAAGTTGATGTCTAAGCTTAGAGCAGGGCTATCATACTCAGTTCCTCAAAGCTTTTTGTAGCTGCTGTTCCAAGCTCCTTTAATGGGGTCAGCAATAAGAACACAAGGAGGGAAAGGAATTCTGATTACGGACCGCCTTTATCTTTCTGGACATGATTATGCTATGGAGATGGAACATGTCCATCAATTTGGGACTGCACTGCAGTCTTCTAAAAAGAACTATAAACAAAGGGAAGTTAAAAAAATGTAGTCAATGGATAAAGCTCTCTATAATAAAACCTAAAACATATGAAGGATATTGCATTTGCAGGCTTTATACACATACAACAACTATAATGCATTGTTATTTTCCGTGAGGTGAGCTGTGCTCATACATCATGTGACACAAGTGACTTCCTTATAGATCCTTAGTAAGGAACCTTAAGAGCACCATATGCTAAAGGAACTAAGATAGGAAGCATACAGGCTCCTTTTTATACCTCTTTTTGCAATTTTTGGACAATGCTTATCATATCAAACGCTGACAAACTTCGTTTTACTCCGTTTTAAAGCGTTTACCAATAATAACTCAGAATGCATGAAAATTACACTGATAAAATGTTTACCAATATAGACATGTTAGACATCGTTGGAAAGCTTAGATTCTCCACAATTCAACCACCTAGTTCATTTTATGGACATATCTAGCATCAACGCACAATTAACACAGATATAGCAGCATGTCAAAATGCACCATGACAAAGCAGCCACAACAAGCAGGCATGTCTTTATAACTGCTGTTCAAAAAAGACCTATTATTTTCAAGAATAAAAAAACAACTTTGATTCATGTTTAAACTGATGCAGCTTGGGTGTTTTACTCACCCAATTTTTATTTATATATTCAGAAACTAGAAGGTGTTGGCTTTCAAATAATGTATCACGCATGTAATTTGGGCTTACATTTCCTAAGTTATTTGCTTTTCCATTTTGGTATGCAAAATAGGAGAGAATTTTATTAAGAGGTTAAATGACCTGGGATGCATTCAGACCTCTGCTAATGAGCTAACATGTGGTGTGTTGATCCCAAATGCTTTTTGACAGCTAGATTTTCCTAAAGTTTATTTTAAAAAGAAGAGAAACTACATTTTATTTCACTTTATATTGGATATATGTGAAGGGACATTAGATTACTTGTCAGTTGTTTAATCTTTCTTCAAACTGATAAAAAAAAAACTGATTTTTGTCATCTGCAGGTGCATTGGAATATCATGTGTTTACATCTATAAAAAGAAAAGATAAAAAAAATCCATTCACTTCTCATTACTGCAATCAAAACATATAACCACTAAAAACTTATATTTATACATTTTTTTAATATTTTAGTTTTTATCATTTTACCGGCGGCAGAAAGACAAGACCCTCCTACTGAACTAAAGACTTTAACTTTCTTCACTATTTAATTCATATGTATTTATTAATTATATATGAATTTAAGAAAAAAAATAACATTGTAGAGCTAAGTGTATTTTGTAGGTAGATGGGAAATCAAAAGCTTGCTGATCCAGAGAATGTGGCATCAGCTAAAAGAAACCAAAATAAAACTGATAACGTATATCAGGCATATAAAATTAATTTAAAAAATGGCCTCTTCAGCATTACCAAGTCTTGCAATACCTTTACCATATATAAACAATTAACTGCTCTGTTATTCTAACTTTATACCCATTTATTTACCAGTTTTAGCCACTTTGTAAATTTCCAAACAAAATACGGCTTTATTTTAGAACATTGCATGGCTTATTTGGCTCTTTAGGGCCAGACAAACTACCCTAACACCTGATGTATATGAAAGCTGGAAGGTGCAGGTGGATGATGCCTGTTGGGTTTATTCAATGATGATTATAAAATGAATGTGTGCTTATGAAACATTTGTGCAAGGGGATGCTCCACACCTGTCTCATGACCCAGTCAGGAGACCATCCTGCCTTGTCATTCTGATGGAGCATCCTGTCTTCATGAACTGATCAATTGTTCTGTCAGAACAATACTCTGTTTGTAACCATGTGTCATGTTCTGTTAATAAACGCTCTGCAGAGGAGGGCCAGCGGGAGACAGTATGTTTGAGTCTGGGGTTCAACTGTCTCTCCTTCCTACAGGAATAGTATCGATAAGTCTGTATTTCAGTTCTTCTTAAGAAAAAACCTATCAAAGAACCCGACATTGCCTCTACATTATCCCTGGCTGTAAATGTGGTTATCTCCTCTATTAACACACCATTTTTCCTGTATAAGAATGACAACCTGTCCAGGGTGTGACCTGCCCCACATTTGGAAATGTGTAAAAGGAGAATCTAGAATTCACAATGAATGAATTTGCATGTATTTGTACAACAAGCAGAAAATAAAAGCAGCCAAATAAATAAAAACCTGATGATCTTCTTTCAACCCAACTTTTCCCTAACATAGTTTGTAATATATTCACATTCAGAGGAACTTTGCTTGTTGTAGTTTTAAAAATCAATATTCTTCATGTAGCTATTTGGATGAGAGAAACCGTCTGAAATCTTTTGTAAATACTTTATGCTAAGATATAACAACCCCATTAAATACAGTTTGTTCTCACCTGTATATCGTAGATACAACTTCACCTCAGCCTCTTCACATTTGCAGCTGTACATTCCTGTTTTGTTCAGGTTCAGATGAAGTTGTATAGACTCCTCCATAGCATTGATTGCCTTTTTGTATATTGTTTTATTATATGGGTCAAAACATTCCAGTTGAATCCCAGTTTGGTTGGACGGTTTAATGATGGTGACATCAATGCTGATATTTTCACCTAAAAATCCCAGAAACACATTCCTCTGCAGCTTTAACTCTGCAAATGAAGAACAAAAGAAGTTAATATCAGTGCTGGTTAACAAGATTAGAAATTAATTCACTGCAGTTCTGATAGAGTTAGTGATTATCCCAGTGCACATGTTCACATTTTGTCAAGTTACATCGTCAACTTTTGATTGATCTTACTTGGATTCCATGTGACAGTAGTGTGGAAGTAATGTAATAGTTCACAATGGAAGGGAAATAATAAGTGTGGTGTTTACCAGTAGGCAGCCCCCTGGAGTCATGCCTTAGACAAATTTATTGTAATTTTGTTAACACAGAGTGTGCACAAAGCAAAATTTCATTTATACAGCTTTCAGACAGCGAAGACTACTGAATAAAACTTTGCAGAATCAAGATTCGCCTCTAAAAAGTTTTTGAGGGTTATGTTTCGACTAGCCTAAATCACTAAAACAGCTAACCTTCGATGAGATCATACAAAGAATATCCACAAACCGTGAAAAAGTCTTCCGATGACTGTCCTGTATTTTGCTCCATCTCACTTACTGTTACCAACTTGTTTGTCACTGCCTTAGAAAATCCCCCCAGCTTGGTCTTATGACCCCCACGTTTAATGATGTGCTTTGAATTCCTCAGACCACCTTTTCTGGAAAATCTAAAATCCTATTTACATTGCACAAATATGCTGGTGAGGATTCTTAGTCTTCCAGGTCATCCTAATTCCAAAAAAGTAAATAAAAAAACAATCCACTGGACTTTGTTTCCAAGTTTGAAGACATTTCTCTTCCCATGCAGGAAGATTTTCAATTAAAAATGTCAGAAATAGCATTGAGTTTGAGGCTTTATAGAGTGGACCAAAAACAAAGCCTTGTTTTGGCTTATAAACATGCAGATTGGATCTGACGAGCGGGTCCGCCCCTGAGGAATAGAGGTAATTCTGGTTCTTTGTTAGCCTGTAAGGCCCAATACTTGTCTATGTCTCTATAAAAGGGGGTTGTTAGAGGCAATTGTTGCCCTGGCTGAACAGGCGAGGTGTTCTGTTCCCCCGTAAGGGGGAGGGGGTTGCGATGATGGCGGAAGAAAAACCTAGAATTCAGCGATAGATTCCTGCTATTGCTGAGAAAGACAGTTTCTGTCCTAGGCTGCACTCTGGACTTGAGAAATTGGCTGAGAGGAGGGTGCTGTCCAAGCTTACATCCATCATGGACAACACCTTCCACCCCCTAAAAAACTTGTACACCCTCAGTCAGCCTCGGCAAACGGCCGCTAACACTGAGTTTGGTTCTGCTGGAGGTTCTTTGGACGGGCATGTATAGTGTGTGTTATTTGCGTAAACCATTATGCTTCATGGATTTGCCAACACTAACTCTAAGAAGTAGGAATGCCCACACACAGCTTCAGTTATGTATTACTTCTGTAAAGTGCCTTCAGAAGACATGTGTTGTAAAATTGGTGCAAAATAAATAAACTAACATGAATTAATCAGAGAACCATGAGATCTTTGCTGTTTGGGATACTGACATGAGACTTAGCCATAAATATTTAAAATTAATCTCAACATTATTTCTGACCTATCTGCTAGGTTTTTGAATCTCATAATGCTGTCTGTCTACTAACGCTCTGTAAGAAACCTCCAGCACCTCCACAGAACATTTGGTGTTTACTTAGGTTAAATTATAATTAGGTGAAATTAATTTCCTTCTGAAAGCAGCTTGCTGCTTCCAATTTCATTTTTCTAATTAGAATAAAGAGGGCTGTTTTAAATTAAGGGCAAAAATCTTCATTTTTATCTTCAATTAATGTTAATAAACTAATGTTAAAACCAATTCTTCCCCCATCACAATCATTTTGAGCTGTTGTATCCAGCATCCCCTCTCCAAAGAAAAATGTGATTTAAAAAGTTTTTTTTTTGAGAAACAGCAGCAAAAGATCAACCAACTATGATGATAGCACATCAGATAAAGGCTTGTTTTTAAACCTTTCTATTATAAGAAAAACATTCTTGAAAGATATTGTCACATTTACTGAACTTAAAATGGAAAATACTTAAATATCATCATTTGTGACTAATATATTGCTAAAGAAGATATCAACCACAGCAACAGTCAAGATGTCTTCATATGTAGTTGGACTGCTCGGTATTGAGGAACCCGTTTCAGTCTTACCTGTGTTCAAACCTGCATGCACGGACTGGAAGGAAATCAGAAATATCCAAACCAAACTATGGGAAAGATGGTAGAAATACAGAGCTGTCATCTCAGGGTTGTTATCTGCCTTTTTAGACAAGGTTTCTCAGTGTGTCTCTCCTGTCTTTGTCTCTGAGAATAAACAAGAGTTGGTTTCCTGACAGCAGAAAAACCACTACTGTACTTCCTCAAAAAAATTCTGTTTTTTAAGGAAGCTGCGTCAACTGGAAGTTAAAGCGCCAGAACACAGAAACAATGACTCTGTCCATCTCGGACAGATGATTAACTAGATGAAACACAAAGGGCCTGATTCCTAACGCTTCCCTGTGTTGTGGTGAGTTGGACAGGTTTCTGGCTGTAGCACTCCTGGAGACAGTGTTGGAGCCATAGCAGTGTGAGCATCCTCATGTGGTGTTTGTGTGTGAACGGTTGAGATTTAACCTGTGTTAAAGCTCACTCCTCTTTCTGTCTAAAAAGGTTTGAAATATTAGAAAACAAGGAACAGTTTTTGTTTCTTTTTCATTAAAGCTTTTTTATTTATCTTTTTCTTTCCTTTGCATTCACTCCTTTTTTTAACCCTTCTGCTAGACTTTTGCACCTCAACATTCTCTGGTGTCACCAATGGGCCAACTCTGACCTCACCCCTGCTGCAGCATGAAAACAGACGCATGAGCTGGAAAAACATCTGGATGCCAGGAAAACGTTTTTTAGATTATGACTCATTCAATATTAACTCTCCTCTCTTATACACTCCTTATCTCTCCTCCTTTTTAGGGGAGTAAATTATTTAGATCTAAATAGATCATGGATAGATTAACACCTTTGCGGAAACATGCAGTTAAGTAATGACCTATGTTGGAATCTAAAAAAGAAGTTGAAAATGTTTAGACAATTGATGTTAAAAAATAGACCATGGAAACTCTGCAGGAGTAGAAGCTCAGGTCAGTGACTTCAAAACTCAAACGATGATATTAATGGATAATCCAAGCCGTGGTCGGAATAAAGCTCCAGGGTCGGCACCAGGCGGAATCCAGGTAACAGTCCAAACCAAACACAGCAGGCAAACAGAGCAAACAGGGGCGTTTGAAAACTCAGAGATCCGTGGGCAGAAAAAAGATCAGGAAGTGGCAGAACCAATCAAAGGGAAACCGTAGAGTTAGAAAGCTTTAATAATCTGGCACCAAAGGCTGAGGTCCAGAGGCTTAAACAGAAGCAGGTGCAGGTGGATGAGATTAGAGCTAATGAGCAAAGGGCAAAGCAAAGCAGGGGAGAGCAACAAATAAAAAGACCCAGCCTAAAGGTGCCAAAATCATTACATTAGCTTTAAGGAGATCACATGAAAAGCAAAAACAGACAACGAAAAAACAAAACAATTCTGTCATGATATTGGCGCTAATGATTGGCTTAATTGCTCATTTCATTCACCTGTCTAACTCTGCCTGGTTTCTCATTACTGCTCATCTGATCCAGCTGTTCCTGCTTCTATTTAAGCTGCTTGGCAACAGCCACCAGTGCCAGATAATTCTTGAGCCTTTAGTGAGAGTTTTACTAGTGTAATTTATTGTGTTCTGATTGCTGTTTTGCTTTTGGATCTTTGACCCTGCCTGTCCCAGTTCTGATCCATTTGCCTGACCTGTCTTTGGACTTCTTTGCCGGATTCTTCTTGTGGACCTGGATCTGCTTTATAACTTTGACCTGGATTATCCTGCCTTCCTTCTGTTTGGATCTGACCTCCTGCCAGTTCTGCAGCCTTCAAGGCTTCAGCATCTTGTCAGCTGACCGGCTGGATCCTACCTCCTTCTCTGGGCACAGACTTAACTGTAAAACCAGGTTAGTGACTCACGCGTTCATAATCATCTTCCGTCAGATTATCATGGTCACTAACCTGTGTTTCTCTACTATAGAGGTTCCTGAATTAGCGGCCATAGCCACTGCTACTGCAGATCTGGTTGTCAAAAAACTATTTTTGAGTTATCCCACTGTCTGTCTTAACTTCAATACTGGGTCCTTCTGTTCTCAGTCATTACAAATTCTGTTAAAGTTAGAGACGACTTATCTTGTCCACAGCACCCTTATGGTGTCTTTTAGACTTAGCTCTGACCTTTGAGATTCAAACACATTCTCTTTCTGCTGGGAAAGCCAGCAGAAAGCCAGCTGAATGATTAATTCTGCTCCTCTCGACAGCTTTGGCTTTCAGTTTGTGGTCAGTTCTAAAGATTTGTGAACCACACGCTTTTTAGGGGAAGAACCACTCATTACACTGTGATCCTTACTGAGGACCGCCACAAGGACCAGTGATGCCCTCTGGCGGTAAGGATCACTAATTACACCCACTGACCAGTGGTGTGGACCAGGCCGCCATTTCTGCTACAATTCTTTCTTGGAATTGTAGCAGAAATGTACCAAAAACAACTTGCAAGTTGTTGGTATAAGCAGCATGTTTCTCTTCAATGCATTTTATGCATTAGGATAATTTATGTATTTGCAGGGTTTTTGTGTTTGCAGGCTGTTAGCACCTATGATGAGACCCAGATGTCATCTACCACAAGATTTGGATATCTTTCTATGAAGAAAATGATCAGTAATTGCGCTTACTTCAAAGATAAAAAAGAATAGAACAAATAGCATAAAGATGATTTATTGAGTGTGTTCATTTAATTATGCAAATGTACAATTTGCTCCCTTTACATGTCTGAAAGTGTGCATGTATGCTGAGTGTGTGTAGCTGAATTTTAGACCTTAGACTCAGACCCAGAATAGTAAAACTACACTCTGTATTTGACAGGGTTGCACAGTGGAACAATGGGTAGCACTGCTCCATGCAGAAAGAACTTCTTTGGAGTTTGCATGTTCTCCCTGCCCCGGCTTCTTTGCATTTTCCTTAGGTATCATTGTGTGTGTGTGTGTGTGTGGTTGTTTGTCTTTGTGTTGACCTGCGATATACTGGTCTGTGTATTGACCTGTCCAGGGTGTACCACCCGCCTCTCACCAGCACCCCTCACAACCCCAGCCGGGATAAGCGTGATGAAAAATGGATGGGTGGATGTGTACTCCACGTTCAATCATTTTAAAGCCTTTCCTTTATTCATTCATTTATTAAAAGAGAAATTAAATAATCTTGAAGTAAAAACTAAGTTGGCAAAACTACATCTCTAAATAACTACTAAAGGCAATTTCCTTGCTTGTTTGAAACTGTGTTGCTTCACATCTGACTCAGAGTTTCTGCTTATGGCACATAAATGCATTTGGCATCCTGCCACACAATAATTCTGCTGCCAAAGCTTCCTGCAGTGTAAACACTTAGTTTTGTCTACAGTATCTTACCTCGAGTGCAGAAAAATGCAACTGATCCTGCTATTTATATGAATAATACAGTAGTCAAAATGTCAGAGTGAAAAATCCTCTACACATATCATTTGAAAACTCATTCAACCACTTGTAGCAGTAATTACTCTCAGTGATCTATTTTTATCATTCTCTCATTTCATTGGAAACCAATTTTGACCCGTTTTTTTAGCAGCAAAGTGCAATAAGGCTGAGATCTATTGGACTGAACCATTATAACATCTTGATTATTTATTCTGTTCTAGTTTAATTTCGTTTCCTGTCAAAAGGAGATTGTTCTGAGGTTCATCTAAAAGTTCTGCTCTGTTCTTTTTCATGGAGTCTTTCCTCAAACCTTCCAATGTACTTGTTAACCTCATTCCTAATAGTGCTGGTATAAGCTGTCACATTTAACATGCTTCCTGAGGCCTGGAACATTTTAGATTAACCTTTTGTTTTTTACTGTTTCTCCTTTGATTGGACAGCCAGATTTTGAGCATAATTTGCTGTGACTTCCCATCTCGGGAAAATTAGTAATTCTGTCAAATATTTTCCATTTTCCATAACAAAGAAACAACCTCTTACAGTAGAGCGATGGACGTGCAATGCTTTAGAAATAACAGCTAACCTAGATTGATGTGCAACAACAATTGCTTCTTTAAGGTAGCTTTTAATGCAAACACCTGTGGGCTCCAGACAAGCAAAATGCCAGGACTTTGATTTGACAGACAGATTGACGTTTAGATCACGTCTGAGACTTTCCCTCTTAGCAGAAAGGATATACTTTTATATAAACAGTTTACCAACCGTGGTTTGCTTTTACCAAAACAAATTTAAAATTGTATGTTTTAGAACAATTGGGGTTAAATGTTGATCATTGTATTACTTTTTAAAGAGTAAAGCCTTATTGAGTGTTTTCATAAGTGTAACTCATGGACAAGAGGTCCGAACAGGACTTCTAATGTTGGTTATATGCTAACTGATGTTACAAATTTACTGACATAAAAAAACAAATTTACTAACTATCTGTTAACTGGATAAATAATATTTAATTCCATCCAGCTTGACGAGAAAACAGTCAGAAGAACCTCTGTAACTCAGGAAAGCAGCGATAAATGAATAAAGATCTGAACTATAACTGTTTTTTATGAACTTTATTGGTACAGAAATACCATTCTATGGTGCAGAAAAACTGAATTTTAACATTGCAATTCTGTACCTGAAAAAGGCAAAGAATGTGAGGAAAATCAGGAGACCTGTCAGAACGACTGGAAATGCAGCACATCTGGCAGCAGCTGGAAAAGAACATGTGAATGTCTGTGAGCGTGGGTGGGTGGGTGTGAGAGGGAGAGTCAGAGATGGGCGTGAGTTGTGGTCTACAGATATCACAACATTCAAAGCTGTTAGAGATACAGACTAACATCAAGGGGTCCTCAGACAAACAGCACCATCTTCATACCACCACTGAGGGCATCAGAGTGGATGATAGGCTCATCGCTGACAGGGAAGGTCCGACAGTCTCCACAACGTTCTAACTGTGAGTATTTCATCATTTTTCCAAAACGGATTCCAGATTTAGTTTTTTCCTCCACTGTTATGCAAGTTTTCAAAGAGCCTCCAATTTCACAGCCACAATCTTTAACAGGCAAAATTGAGCATGACTTTCTCTGCCACAGTTATTGTGTGTGTGATCAGTTTTCAGAGGCTCCAGATCTGATAAAAACATGCTTAATAGAAGATGAATACATTCAGGGTTTTTTTAGTGATTGAAAAACAAGACAGTAGGCAAGAGAGCTGTCTTTTATTTGTAATTTCCCT